CCTTCAACTTTAGAAACTCCCGGGTTAACGTCGCAGCGACCAGTAGGTCAGATAAATGAAATTGCAGATCAAGTATCAAATTGATCACTTTGTCCCCTTACGACACACCACCTTTTCGACAATTCGAAGTTTGGGTCAGGGTATCAGTTTGGCCAGAAACTTGTCCGCAGAACAGTTTGGCCCTCTGAACACGAATATCGGCTCCGTTTGACGCAAAAATGACCAGTAAGCTCACTATAAGTGCTGACGTCTGCAACGAGAGAACGGCCTAGTGCCGACGTCTTCAAGGCGAAGTTTTGCAAGCCGAATGAGCGCAATATTCGCACCTTGGAAGTTGAACTACACTTGAATAGATGATTGCAGCGGATTCCGTGTTGCATGGAGGCTTATTGCCAACCCCTCTCCACCATGGCGCAGGCTACAGGCGCTTTCGCATCAAACGGATGTAATATTCGTATTCAGGCGACCAAACTACCCCAGCGAACAATTTTTTTTTGCCAAACTGAAATCCTAGCCCAAATTTCGAATTGTCGGATCGGTGGTGAGCGTCTCAAAGGGGCTATAATGACCAAATCGATACTTGATCTCGCGCGTTATACGCTTGACCTCCCCTTGCAGGGTCTTCAATTTGCAGGAATTCCGAAAATCCAAGTTAAAACTATTATCGCAGACAAAAATTTTCAAACCAATTAGGAGCAGATTCGCGCGCTGGCATATTTGCAATCAGCATTCGGGACTATCGAAGTTCCTATATTTTTCAAAGTTCCGTGGGAAACAGAATCCATTCCCCTTTCAGAGAGACCAAACAAGCAAATGACGTAGTCCAGTACCACAATGGCCTCCCCCTCCCACACCCACCTTCGCCTCCATACTCACTTGATATCTTACCCTGTGTTCCCTGCTGAGCAAAGGTCGCGCCCGGAGCGCTTCAGCCGCTTATCGGTATCTATACAGTATCTACACGCCTTGCAGTCAAGAATTAGATCGATTTTGCAGAAATTCCTCAACACTAGCCCGCGATTCCGTGAATCTCTGAAAGCTGGTGTTTTCTTACAATCAGTAAGAGGGAAAGTGTGGAATTACACTCCATCTCACAAAGATGAGGGTGGCGTGGCCGCGCGCTCCGTTAAAATGGAGTAGGATACGTTTCTCGTGAGATATTCCCGTTTGGACAAGTGCCATCCTGTGATAGGCTGGACAAAGACGTGATTACAGTTGGTTCGAAACGAAAATATCCCACCAGATCAGCAACCGCCATCAAGTTCGCAGCCACGCCCATCCCATCTTCGAGACATGTAGTGTACCTCAGTAACCATGGCGTAATACCGGTCACTCTTCCATTTTCTGGCCTGGGGTTCGAGCATGCGGTCAAGCTTTTTACTAGTTATTTAAAGTTATAGTTTTAATCTCTACAGTCCTATTCCGAGACTTTTTCAGATTGAGGTCCTCGAAGAAGTGGTGCAAGCGGTACAAGGACGGGTTCCTGTGAGTTCACGACCTTCTGTTCAAGGCAGAATTTGCGTTATGGGTTCTTTTGGCGACCCCTTAGGCTGCGGTCATAGTCAGCGATCGGCGATCTTGCGACCGAAACGATTCGCCGGTTAGCAATTGCGGACAAGGAACTGACTCCAGAAACCATTTCAATGACCAAATAGCACTGTTTACTAATCGCCGAATCGCTTAATTCGAGCGATTGCCAGGCCGGACGCCGACTATGAACACAACTAAAATGTTTGATTGCGTGGGATTCGCCGAGCACCCCGCCTACCGGCCGATGTTGTATCTGCCTTCAAGCACTGCTC